GATACCCTGAAATGCGCGGAGATGAATTTCACTCCATAGTCATGTCACTTGGATTTTGGAGGCTTGGAGTGAAATACACCCTGGATCTCACTCCGAGATTATTTGTGGGGTGAGTACTGTTAGTCCAGGCGCCTGGTAGCTAAAAATGAGGCTACCTGGAATTTTGGGTACACAGCGATTTTTTTGGCTTACTTTATGTTTTTTGGGTCGCTGAATCCGAATCTGAAGTTTCCGCAGGCGTATCTGGTGAGCATTTTCCGCTATTTTGAAAAAATGGCCTAAAAAGGCCTTTTTTTGCGGTTTTTTTGATATAGCGGCTACGGATGAGGAAAAGTCCCGGATTTAGCTAATGTTTTGAATAGCTGACAAAATTTGGAAGAAAATGGTATATAAATATGCTAGGTTTGCTCAAAAATTGAGGAACCTCGGATTTCGGAACTTTAGAACGCTTCGGAACTTGGCTGACCGCGGCGAGCCGGATCGCGCGTTGACGGGTGCGCCGCGAAAACGTGAATAGGCGCGATGTTCACGATGCTGTATCTTCCTCAATTTTTAAGCAAACCTAACATATGTATATACCATTTTCTTCCAAATTATGTCAGCTATTCAAAACATTAGCTAAATCCGGGACTTTTCCTCATCCGTAGCCGCTATATCAAAAAAACCGCAAAAAAAGGCCTTTTTAGGCCATTTTTTCAAAATAGCGGAAAATGCTCACCAGATACGCCTGCGGAAACTTCAGATTCGGATTCAGCGACCCAAAAAACATAAAGTAGGCCAAAAAAATCGCTGTGTACCCAAAATTCCAGGTAGACTTACCAGGCGCCTGGACTATGTATTTCCTTCGTATGATAGATCGTAATTAAATATACGATCCTCCCTTGTAATAGCCCCCTTTTTTTAGATTAGTAAAGTGCGTTGAGCCCTGTGCACTCTCAACCCCAACTGCAAACTAAGGAAGGGTCAACGCACTTGTCTGGGCAAAGTAAGGGTGAACCTGAGAGGGAAAATCGATAGATTCATGATTTGGAGCACTAAATTAAAAACTTACGGGGTAAGCTGTAATTAATTAGAATGGGGAAATGTGAATGGAGGTGCGGGGTTTGTAGTTGCCGCTTTTCCGGGGAAAGTTTACATTTATCTTTTCAGGACACCGGGGAGTACCCATTTCAGGAGTACCCATTTGACATTAGTAAACTTAACCGTGCTCGAATACTTCAACACAGAAGTTTTATTGTAGGGAGAGAACATTTAACATTCCATAATCATCTTGTAAGGATCTTAAGTCGTAAAAATGATTTGTTTTCTTCCTAGATGGTAAAGTAAGGGTGGAAATTTTAAAACTCACCGACTGAGATATGTGGTTTTGAAGTCAGCCATAGACTTAATTTGTTAATTTGTGTAAAATTTGTTTAAAGTTAAATTGTTAATTTTTGTGATTTGTTATTTCTGTTAATTTATGTTCATTTATCTGTATTGGTATAGGTATGTATTGTATTTTGTTGCTCACGATGACGGCTCAATTTTTTTAGTTAAAAATGAACTAAAACTTTCTCTGACGAGAAAAACTTCTTTGTCGCAAAGTAAATGTAAAATGAAATCAAACGATTCCATTATAACATGAGATTTCATCACAGTCAAATTTTTCGTTGTCAACTTAGTAATATTTTACTTGGTGGGTGTGACTCTCTTATCGTAACAAGTCGACGGTGTAAGTCCGCAATCATGTATCTCGTTTGCGGTGTTTGAAAATCTCCGTTCCTATTTTATTTTTTTAAATGAAAATAAGTAAATTGATATCATTCTTTGAAGTATCCGCAGAGTTTTCTTCGTACAGAGAAGAGAGGAGTTTTTAAGGATGGCCATTGAGTACTTTCCTATTTAAAAAATGAAGTATGATAGGAAGTCTACAACGAGATACGTGATTGCGGACCCACACCGTCGAAGTGTCCTCATGACGTAACGAGAACCAGCCAAGAAACTAATTTTCTTTCGAAAATTAATCCGATTGCTGTCGATGCGTATTAAAAAATTCACCATCCTTGATTTATAATTTTTACATCTTTCGCTAATGTGTGTAGACACGATGACATCGAAAAATTGGACCGCGTTAAGCAGAGGAAACCAAGCCACATCAGCTATTGGCAAATTCGATATGGCAACTCAATTTTTTCCGTGAAAACTGTTGTGCAGATTTTTGTGCAAAGTTCCGTGAATTCTCTGCATACACTGGAAAAAAAACACATTGGATCTGGAGTCCAGACTCTTAAAAACATCGACAAGAAAAAGTACTCTTGATTCAATAAGAATCTAGCTTAAATCAAGAACCAAGCCTCTTAATTTAAGCGGATTTTTTTTATTCAAGCAAAAATCCGATTGAATAAAGAGTATTTTTCTTGTCGATGTTTTTAAGAGCCTAGACTCTAGATCCAATGTGTTTTTTTTCCAGTGTAGTAAAAAGCAAATTCCTTAAAATTTTCCAAGGAATCCGCACGAACGTTCTCTAATAAAAAATTGAATTTCCCAGTTAAATTTGGCGATAGCTGGTGCGGCTTGGTTCCTTTCTGCTAAACGCGGTCCAAATATGAGGAAAAATTTGATGAGAGTTGAGCCACATCAACTGAGTGAAAAGATTAATACGATTTTACTTAAAAGTCAAGGATATGCTGGGGCCTTTGAGGAGTCACGAGCCGTGATAGGGGGTGGCGCTTGCACTCGATTAAGGGCGAACGAGGCCTTTGACCCGACCGAAGCGCCGAAATGGTGCAGTTCCCACGGCGGAAAATCGATGAAACCAAAGCTGAGGTGTTGCTTGACTACATCGACAATGGGTCATTGGCACACCAGAGGCAGCACGTGCAATGCTCCCACTTTCCTACATTCATAATCGATCTCCTCGAAGCTTCACGCCATTCATGAATCTTTAATGAGCCTCCTAGTTTCAGCTTCTTACTGTTCTTCTAAGCTAATTTTGCGCCACCAGGCAAGTTTGCAAGATTCCTCGAAACCGAAAAAAAAGGATAAAACTATCGGGATTCCGAAGGGGACGCCAGATCGATGCGCATAAGATAGGAAACCCCACTATGGGGGTTACACAGGACTCCAATAGCTCAAGAGGGGGGGTTTGGGGGACCTCCCCGTGGAAAATTTTCAAAAATTGAGTCAGCTCAGGGGCAATCTGGAGCTATGTTCTAACTGAAAATTTTATTGAGATACAATTACTTACAAGGGTGAAAAATATGCTGCGCTCTTCATAGCAAAATCTCTCACATTTTCGGGGGGTCGCCCCCCCCCCCGTCCCAGGACTACTAAAGAGTATGATACTGAAGAAAATGAATGTGCATATTCAAGATGAAACACCTCGCGGAGAAAACCTTGGGAATTTCAGAGAGAATCCAAAAATTTAATGATGAAAAATGCGTAATGAAAAGCCTGTGACCTCAAAACACATACTTCGAAGCATGTGCTGAATAATTTGCCTTTCGGCTACTGTATCAAGAGCAATAAATTTGTGTTTTTTTCTTGTCTAACAAACAGAAGTATAAGTAAACTAAGTGGTGAGAAAAAAAACAGAGGGGGAGACAGAAATAATTTCTTTAAACAAAAGCAAAGCTACAGTTTCCACAGAGGTCAGTATCTAATACGCGGAAAACAAAGGAGCACAACATGCACTTGACCATCGATCTTAGTCCGACAAAAAAAACTCCGCGACAGAGTTTCTAACCGCCATGAATGTTAATTTCGGCATTGTGGTTCACTTATTACCCACTCAATCAATGGAAATCAAGAATACAGGAGTGTATTACCTACAGTTTAAGTAGGTTTATTAAGTAGAGTTAAAAATTACATGACAATGCTAAATTACTAATTCATTTTGAAAAGTACTTCTTTATTGATCCGTAAATCTTGCTCAACATGTTCGAGAACCTTAGCATCAATATAATTTTGATCAAATCGGTTCATAAATAGAAGGATTTGAAGCCAATAATTGAGTTAAGCCAGAAAGAACCAAATTATCGCTCTATAATCTGAACTGGGAGAAGAGTCAAGTATCAGGATGTGATGTTTCCTAGTACCGCCACATTTCAAGAATCAAGCTCCGTACTTAGCCATGGGGCTTTCACCATATTTGAACCGCAGAGAATCACGATGAACTGCGTTACTTTTTCATCCCAGTCCACCAATGTGGTCCAGCCTGATCCTTGCGTTTCAGTGGAACACTTAGATCCTTCATCAGAGATGGGTAGCGTGAGATTATATGCAATCCTATCCTCAGCCTAACTGCTTCACAATGAAAAGAACCTGATCTTGAACACTGAACACATTCCATTCATTACATGGATGATAAAAGCCCTAGCACAATCCTTTTCTTACAAAGGAACTTATCTTGCCCAGTTCATCGACCTAAAAACAATGTGTCAAATAAATCACCAAATGACGATGCAAGTGTGATACAGCATCCTTGTTACTCAATACAATTAAAGTGACTTGGAGGATACTGAAAATCCGATGGAAGGTAAGATAATCTACCAAACTATTAGATAACTCCATTTTTCATCTCATTCGACTGCTCTCGCACTATTAGTTCAGCGCACATTTTACATCGTCACTATTCCAAAGCAATCGGATGATTTTCTGTAGAATGCATATCACTAACTCAGGCCTGGTTTTGTCAATCACCTCTTCCTGGATTCAGACCTCTGGATTAACTTTAACGAGAATTCAGGATGCTTGGGTATCTGTTACAGTTGTGTTGTAGGTTAAGTATTACGTCAGTTACACTGTGTTCCACCTAATAGAGAGAGGTCACTGGGATTTAAAATCTAAATTGAGGAACTGGCACTCCAAGGAATGCTTTCACCAGAAGTTAGATTTAACATGAGATTTCTAAAACCAGGCCGAAGTAAGTCATCGAGTTCGGAGGACTCCAAGCAGAGAAACTTACACTAAAATGACTACATAGCACTGAGGAGTGTGAATGAATATAATATCTTACATACCTTCAGAATTGGAAATCCTGGCAGGAAAAGTCCGTGCAAAGTTAGGAAAACATTTTGAAACGAATAAACTCGCACCGGTCAGAAAAAAACATCGCCGAATGCGTATCCATTTTTGTCGACACTTTTATCATCACTCAGGAAAGCAGAATGTTCGAGAGGAACTAGCAGTCATGTCACGATAAAAAACAGATATCTGAGCGTTGATAAACCAAGAGATACACGCAGAAACTATTTCAAATTTCGGGAAACACGAAATGTATCAGAGGAAACACTTCTAAGACGAATTGACTTCCACCACGATCGCGTTCACGAGAGGAGCACAACAATGCACTAACACATTCCTGCGAACACAGCGCTCACTATCAACCACTATGAACGCATGAGAAGCTGAACGCTCATTGGTTGAAAATGAAAATCGTGTCGTGGTACATTGTTGTCAGCTTGGTTTTAAATTACGATTTTCCTTCAAACATACTCTTATGAACGCTCATTAAGCGCGCTTGCGCTTAAGTTAATTGGAAGGGTCTTTCATTGGAGCCCTCGAAATTACAAAAAAATTACTTAAGTACTTACCCCTAATTTGACAGGTACGTCATATCGATGGTGAACATGCAGAAATGTGTGCCTCGGTTTGAGGCGCTGAAGACTTCCTGTCAATTTTCTACGTGAAAAACTACCAAATGTTATTTTTTTTTAAACTGCAGTGATTTTTACTATCTGAATGAAGAATATTTGGTGAAAATTTCAAGCCCTGATATAAGTTCGATCTTCTTTTAAAAAATAAAATAGGAGCGGGGATTTCGGAACACCGCGACCGAGACGCATTTTTGCAATTACACCAACGATAGGTATTCACACTATAATTAATGCACCAATTTTTTTATTTTTTCTCTTTTGTACCGAGACATAATAGGTGATTGATGACCACGTACCTGAAATGGTTTCCTCCATGCAGAGCCGAATTTATAACATTTTTAGCGTCATGGGCTAAACTCTGGTTACGGCCCTAAAAGTTTAGGCGCTCTCACGTGAGGGGGGGGGGGGTTTACAAACCACCCCTACCCTCTAGATCAAAGAGATGATGTTCTATGTCAGGAAAATGTTCCAAATTCATTTCTACAAAAAACTCCTTTTACTTCAAATCCATACCAAGAAAGCCAAAATTGTTCCAGACCTGTTCGAAACATCGACCTCCAAGGTGGAGGACAGGAACCCCCCCTCTTCATAACTCAATGCCGCTAAATTGACGCATAGAGGCATAATTCTGCTGAGGCATACTTTCCTAAGTATTTGACCACCAGGTATCCAAATTTGGTAGTCTCGAAGCCCCCAACATTTTCTGATGAAATGCAAAGGGTGCGTAAATTTGTAAATTTTCCAAGTTTAGTAGGGCCCCCCGTATCACATCAGACAATGTTTGGGAGGGGTTTAGGGACTGTCGCATTCGAGTTCCTGGTGGTCGAATACGAAGGAAAACCTCTTTTTCATGCGTCTCTACGTCAATTTGACGGTTTTAAATTTTGGAGAGTGGGGCCCTGTCCGCCATCCTCAGGAGTCAATTTTTCGAACAGGTAAGGACCGATTTTGGATTCCTCGGTATCCACTTGAATAAACTTTCCTGTGCATTCTTAACTTGATGACATAATTCCAAAATTTTGAGGGAGCCCTTACTTTTATAGTCACAACCCTTCTTTGACCCCCCCCCCCCCCCCCC